GGGAGGCAGAGGTTGCAGTGAGCTGAGATCACACCACTGCACTCCAGCCTGGGCAACAGAGTGAAACTCCATCTCAAAAAAAAAAAAAAAGGAATTCCCAAAAGGGAGGGAGAAAAAAGGTTCAGGTGCTTGATGTATCTTGTCTCATTAAATGACCATAATCCTCTGTGAAGGACAGATTATTCCCATTTTACAGATGAGGAAGCTGAGACTGCGTTTAAGTAATTGCACGCAGCATCCAGGACAGGTGCTGAGAAGGTGACTCTCAAGTGGAACAGGGAGAAGGACCCAGTGGATTCGGGCTCCCCTCGCCCCTGTAACCTGGCATCAGGGTCTGAGGGCTGGTCTGAAGTCTGCCTTGGGTGAGCATGTCAGCAGGACCTCAGAGCATCCTAGCTCAAGTCCATCGCCCACCATGTGCCAACCCTACCCCCCAAGCCTGGGACCCCTAAGCAACAAACCCCACATTGTTCCCCCAGCTGGCCCAGGCTGCCGGGACAGTGGCTCTTTCCCAAGGCCGCTGGCCTGCTGACTGATTCTGCAAGCCATTCACGTTGGCAGGCCTGGGAGGCGGCGGAGGCAGAGCCTTGGAGCCACCATCTCTGCCCCTTCCTCTCTGAGCTGGCCAACCAGCTCCAGGAGGGAGAGGTGGAGGGCACCGTTTGTGGAGGAGGCCCCCTAAACAGGATGCTGAGGGGTCTTCCTCCCCTGCCCTCTCTCCCCCTGTCCTGGACTTCACCTCAGTTCACCCGGCCCCTTACTGTATCCCTTAGGAAGCTGGTGGTGCCTCCGGGCCAGGGGGTGGGTGGGTGGAGAAGGAACTGGGGAAACGTGGAGGAAACAGTCCCCGGGAGCTTCAGTGCGGCAGGCCCGCCTTTGGTCCCCTCTCCCACCTGCTCCCCCACCCATCTGAAGTCTCTACAGACAGAGCTGGGGGCTTCAGTCACCGTGGCAACAGGTCTGCTGAGAAATGGGTGGGTGTCACTCCCCAGCACAAAGGCTGTGCGCATGGCAGCGCCATCACCTAGCAACGGCCTCCCTCTCTCTTGGCGGCGTCACCCGCCCTGGGGGTGGGTGCCAGGGAGAGAGAACAAGGCTGTTAAGATCCCCAGGAGAGGGGGAGGGAAGCTCGGGTATAGGGCAGGCTGAGGCCAAGGGGTGTGGGTGGGTGGACAGAGGAGAATGGAGCCCCAGGCGCTCAGAACCCCCACCCCTCCCTGTCCCTGGGCTCTGGGGACCCTTCCTGAGGCCCCGTGTAGATGCTGTAGGTGGGCCTGGTGGGCAGGAGTCTGGTGGGACCCAGAGGAGCGCTTCAGACAGGGGCGGTGGTTCTGAGGAAAGCTACGCTCCTAGACAGGGCACGGGTGGTGGCCCGGCTGAGGCATCACTTCTGGTTGAGGCTGTGACAGCTTCTCAGGGACCCACAAGGCTAAGGGTGCCCTCTGGAAGGGCCCAGACGTGGGGCTGGGAGAAGTAAGTGGGACTTCAAGGGCCAGACCCAGCAGGCGGAGCTGCCTGAAGGGTCTGCTGCGGATGGCGGGAGCTCTGCAGGGAAGGGCGGTGCGGTGGGGGCTGGGTGGGGGCTGGGAGGGGGCTGGGTGGGGGCAGGCCAGGGCAGGCCAGGGCAGGCAGCTGGGCGGTCTACAGGCAAAACAGTCCGTTCTAAGAAACTGAACAAGAGCAGTTCTCAGAGTGACAAAGGCTGGGAAGCCCTGGGGCTCACAGAGGGAAGACCACTGGACTCCCTCCAAGGGGGGCTTTGTGGAGAGAGGGCATAGCAGAGATGAGAGCTTCAGAGGAGATACTTTGCAGGCTTTTGACTTCCCAGGGCCCCTGGGGTTTAGGCCAGAGTGAGGACTTAAGCCCCCCGGCTCCCCAAGCCCTCCATCCTCTCTGTCCCTCAAAAGCCATAAAACCCTTGGAGTCCCCAGGGCCACAGGGCTGTGCTGAACATCAGCCACAGACAGGCCAGGTCAGGAGAAACTCCCCAAGGCACTGCCAGGCCAGGAAGGCCCGGTGCATCTGGGCCCTGCCAGGATGTGGCACAAGAAAGTGGACGGGCAGAGGGGTAGCTCGACCTAGTTTATTGTTTCTCAAGAAGGGCCTCCTATGGGAAAGCACCTAACCAGGGGGCTGGGACAGGGCAGCCAGGGGATCCCAAAGAAATGAGGACGAAGGAGAGAGAAATCCTCCGGAAGAAAAGAAGGTGCCAGTAGGAGGAGGCGTCCAGGGCTGGACAGATCCAGTCCAGAGAAGCATGCTGAGGCCAGGCGCGGCGGCTCACACCTCCAATCCCAGCACCTTGGGAGGCCGAGCCAGGAGGATCACTCGAGGTCAGGAGTTCAACACCTGCCTGGCCAACATGGTGAAACCCCGTCTCTTCTACAAATAACAAAAATTAGCTGGGCGTGACGGTGCACACCTGTAATCTCAGCTATTCCGGAGGCTGAGGCGAGAGAATTGCTTGAACCCAGGAGGCGGAGGTTNCACCTCCAATCCCAGCACCTTGGGAGGCCGAGCCAGGAGGATCACTCGAGGTCAGGAGTTCAACACCTGCCTGGCCAACATGGTGAAACCCCGTCCTCTTCTACAAATACAAAAATTAGCTGGGCGTGACGGTGCACACCTGTAATCTCAGCTATTCCGGAGGCTGAGGCGAGAGAATTGCTTGAACCCAGGAGGCGGAGGTTGTAGTGAACTGAGATCGGACCATTGCACTCCAGCCTGGGTGACAGAGCAAGACTCCGTCTCCAAAAAACAAACAAGAAGAGTGTGCTGAGCCACACTGGGCTGGCCCCCAAGGAGCCCCCGTTTGAAGATAGGGCCCCAGGTTGGGGAAGGAAGATGATGAGTGAGGAGGGCACATCTAGAGTATGGTCAGGCTCCGAGGCGGACAGAGGGAAGAAAGGCTGGACCCTAGGGAGGGCAGGTGACGTTCTGGCTCCCAGCTGCTGGGACTCAGAGTTTCTGGGCAGTTCTAAGGACCTAGAAGCATCACCGCCCACCAGTGGAAAGGACAGGGTTGGAAGGCCCCGCAAGGGACAGCAAAGGCCCCGTGTGGGGAGGGGCTTGACACTCCCAAACCTCGACAAGAGGAACCAAGTCCATCTCTAGACAGCAAGGCAGGCAGCAAAGCAAGACCTATGGGGAAAGAACAGCAGACACCAGCGGGGTGGTGGCCCCTCCCTCCCGCCCCACCCCTGCCGAGGCCTCAGCAAGGTGTGCCCAGGGGCAGGAGCGGCGGTGACTCCCTGGGCTTGTGGAAGTAGATGGAAGAGGACACCTCGGTCTTGAGCTTGTTGTCCGAGCCGCTGGCGGCCGAGGCCTCCGGAGCCCCGCCGCACTCCTCGCAGCAGCAGCAGCAGCAGCAGTCCAGGAAGGCCTGGCCCAGCGGCCTGCAGATGCAGAGGAGCAGCACCGGGGTGATGGCGCCCTTGAAGAAGGCGGAGAACTGGTTGATGAGGCCCAGGAGGTCCAGGGTCTGGCGGGTCAGCTCGGTGGAGAGGTAGGCCACCACGATGTTGCAGACGTTCTCCGGGAGGGTGCAGAAGGCGTAGACCACAGTCAGGCCCACCACGGTGCTGTTGAGCTGGCTCTCACACTGCTCGTGCTTGCTGGCCCTGCACTCCGGCTTCCTCCCTGGAGGGCCTCGCACCCGCCACGTCACCAGCTGACAGGTGACCGTGAAGAGGATGGGCAGGCAGAAGTAGCAGCCGAAATACCACCACATGCGGGCGTTCTGGTAGGTCATCACCAGTGAGTACAGCGACTCGGGCAGGCTGGCCGAGGGTTTCATGATGCAGGAGTCCAGGGTGCCTATGGTGGGGGCGGGCTCCTGTGCCAGCTGCCACAGCAGGAGCTCGGGCACAGCCAGCGTCATGGAGCCCACCCAGATGACGGCCAGCTTGGCCAGGATGGATTGGCACCGCTCGATGGGCCTCACCTTGGGCAGGGTGCTGGTGGCCACGTGGAAGCGGTCAATGCCCAGGGCACAGAGACTGAAGGTCGTGACTCCCAGAGAGGAGACCTGTGGGCAAGGATGCGGAGGAAGAGAGAAGCACTTGGTCAAAACCTATGGGGACAAGGAAGGACACCTGGCTTCTGGCTCAGTTAGACCATGAACTGAGTGATAAGCACAGAAATTATAATGGGCCACACGCGGTGGCTCACGTCTGTAATCCCAGCACCTTGAGAGGCCAAGGCCGGCAGATCATTTGAGCCCAGGAGTTTGAGGCCAGCCTGGGCAACATGACAGAACCCAGCCTCTACTAAAAATACAAAAAAATAGCCCGTCTTCTGATGTATGGCTGTAGTCCCAACTACTCAGGAGGCGGAGGTAGGAGGATGGCTTGAGCCCAGGAGGTCGAGGCTGCAGTGAGCGGAGACTGCGACACTGCACTCCAGCCTGGGTGACAGAACGAGACCCTGTGGAAGGAAAAAGGAAGGAAAGGAGGGAGGGAGGGAGGGAGGCAGGGAGGGAAGGAAGGAAGGAAGGAAGGAAGGAAGGAAGGAAGGAAGGAAGGAAGGAAGGAAGGAAGAACAGTTACAACTCCATTTAATGAGCATTTCCTATGGGTCAGGCACCTTAGATGTCATCACATTCCCAATCAACCACCTTACAGTTGAAACTCAGGCTCAGGCAGGAACAGTGACTTGCCCAGGACCACGCTGCTGATGAATGGCAGAGCTGAGGTTCGCACACGCACCTGCCTCCTTCCCCTTGTTCTTTGCCTCTGTGGCTGGAGGATGAATGGCCTGGCTCCCACAGACCCTGATGCTCTCTGGCAGACTTTTGAAAATCATCTCAAAGGAATAACCAAAATAAAAACATAGAAGTTCTGGAACTTTGCAGGCCCTTTCACTTCCTGCACCCCATTATGTGCATGGATGGAGTGAATGGTCTTGGGGAACATGGCTTGCACATGTGCCCATGCACATGCGTGCGCACACACACACACACATCCTGCTCCTGGCCCTGTCCAGAGAAGCCCAGGGCCTGTCTGTGTGGAGAAGCAGCCCCCCTCCGAGCAGCCTGTGCCCACCATGCTTGAACACTATTCATCAAGCACAAGGAAAGCCACCCCTTGAGCCAAGAGGAAGCAGCCCACGCAGCAGGGGAGGAGAGAGCCAAAGAGCAGGAAGGAAGAAGAGACCCTCCCGGGCCATCAGACGCTGCCGGCCACACGCAGGGATTGTGCTCAGATCCCCCTCCTGTCCAAATTCTTCCCTCTTCTGGCTGGGGGAACACAATCCCCAGCTTTTAGCACAGCCACTAAGTGTCCTTTGTGAGAACCCCAACCCCCTCTCTTGGCAGGCGAGCCCAGGCCTGCGGAGGCACAGCCTTCAGACTTGGGTAGAAACGCCATTCTCTCCTTTTTTTTTTTTGAGACAGAGTCTCCCTCTGTCACCAAGGCTGGAGTGTAGTGCCGTGATCTCGGCTTACTGCAACCTTGCCTCCCGGGTTCAAGAGATTCTCCTGAGTAGCTGGGACCACCGGTGTGCGCCACCATGCCAGCCAATTTTTGTACTTTTAGTAGAAACACAGTTTCACTATGTTGGGCCAGGATGGCCTCTATCTCCTGACCTCAGGATCCGCCCGCCTCAGCTTCCCAAAGTGCTGGGATTACAGGAGTGAGCCACCGTGCCTGGCCTTCTCCTTCTCTTTTACATCTCAAAAATATCTCAAGTTTTATTCTAAGCTGCCTTCTCCTGCTCCCTCCTCAGCGCCATCCTGAGATCCTCCCTATAAAAGGGTGTTGCTGGGCTTGGTGGCTCACACCTGTAATCCCAGCACTTTAGGAGGCCAAGGCAGGCTGATTGCTTGAGCTCAGGGGTTGGCAACCAGCCTGGGCAACATAGTGAAACCCTGTCTCTACCAAAAATATAAAAGTTAGCCAGGCGTGCCGGGCACGGTGGCTCAAGCCTGTAATCCCAGCACTGTGGGAGGCCAAGGCGGGTGGATCACGAGGTCAAGAGATCGAGACCATCCTGGTCAACATGGTGAAACCC